CTAGAAATAAATATATTTACCGTATTTAACCTTAATGCTTTTCTGTCGAAAAAGTGGGTCAGCACTTGGTTGCATAAGCTACTGAATTCAGGGCAATAAGGTTTTTATATTGTAACACCATGCCCTCCAACTATTCCAGTTTGGCAGGGACAGTCCCAGTTAATCCATTGTCATCCCATTTTTTCCTCTGATTTCAAAATGTCCCAATTTCAGACTCTTCCTCTCAGTTTCCCCCTTCATCCTCAGCTTACTTGAACTGCTGCAAACTGAGTTCAAAGTGCAAAAGTAGATTTTACTCTATTAACTCAGCATGCTGGAAAGGAAAGAAAAGAAGGGGCAAAATCTTGTCCTTCCCAGTAGGCCCAGGCAGAAACAAACTGCTGCAGTCTCTTCCATCTTGTTTGTTCTTCCTCATAAATAACTTCAGACATCTTGATCCATTCTGATGTTGCTTGGCCACATGTGTCTTGTTAGAGGGTATGCTGTGACCTAATGTGCTCCTGCCACATAAATCAGGATTCTTTCTAGAAGAGGATGAGATTACCCCACTACACTCTTAAATTGCTGCTATTCCACTTTTACTGCACTGGTTGCACAAGTGTTTCAACAGTTACAGATCCTGTAACTGGCACCTAAGAATGGTTTAGAGAGAGAAAGCAGCATTTTGCATTCCTATAACAACTCCATGAATAACTTACTTGAAGTATAGTGCTAAGTCGGTAGCTATAATGGCAATATCCATCAAGTGAGTCACATGCTCAAACTGCCTCCGGTTGAGATTTTGATAAATGTTCAAGGACTAAAAGGAGAAAAGGCAGACATGAGAGTGGAAGCTGGTATCTATCTTTCATGCATCATCTAGAGGTGCATCTACACTGTAAAAATAATGTAGGTTGACACCACTTTAAGTGCTGTAGCGCCATTCTATGGAATCCTGGGATTTGTAGTTTTACAACGTCTCTAGCCTTCTCTGCCAAAGCATGCTGGTACCTCACAAAACTACAGATCCCAGGTTTCTGTAGGCTGGAGCCATGGCAGTTAAAGTGGTGCTAAACTACATTATTTCTACAGTGTAGATACACCCCAGGATATCTCCACTTTGCTCCCTGGATGCTTTGCCTTATATTTTAAATAAAATAGGAACAGACTGGAAATGCAGTTTATTAATGCTCCTTGATATGTACACAGCTTGAAGTAAATATCTATTTTTATTTAACCTTAATGTTCTCCTGTAAAAACTGTGGGTCAGCATTTGGTTATATAAACTTTTGAATTCACAACATTAATGTTATGCTATCCTAACACATAGGCTTAAATGGAATTGGGATATAATGAAGAAAAGTTTCAACCTTTTCTTATAAATACTAGACAAATGGATGAATTTTGCCTCAGATAACAGCACACTAGTGTGATATGAGGCCTGTTCAGTAACCTTCACATTTTTGCTCTTTCAACTGCAGAAAGGGCCTTTGATCAAAAATTAACACCTGAAAACAAAAGCCCATTCAGAGAAGCACCAACATTTTGATATCAATAACATAAAAAGGGCTCCGCTGGGTGAGACCAAAGGCATAGCATCCTCTTTCCCAAAGTGGACACCTACATGCTTTTGGGAACTGTAATCCACAGCCACATCACACAAGTCTGTCAAGGTGGTAGTGAGGGAGGTTTAATCTCCCACTAAGCTTCTTTCTACTTTGGAATTTACATCCACCCAATACAGATTCCCCCATGTAACAGATTTCTGAAATGTAAAGAAATTTACATTTACAGGTCCATGTAAATCTCCTGCACTAGTGCATGATGATCCCAGCTGAGATCAAGGGTGCACAACATTTGTCTGGATGTAAAGCAGGGAATGATCCATAACAGCTTGATATCATACCCCCCCAATTATCCCAACTTTTAAAATATCCCAATTTCTTTTTCCTCCTTCCTCTTTCCTCCTTTGTCCTCAGCTTACTCAAAATGCATTAGTGAAATGCATTGAGGGCCTTTGCAGACTGCCAGAAATAGTGCAAATTGAGTCCACTTTAACTGCCCTGACTCAGTGCTAGGGAAACATGGGAACTGTTGTTTATTGTGGCACCAGAGCTCTCTGACAGAGAGGGCTCAATGTCTCAGAAAAAAATACAATTCCCATGATTCCCTAGCACTGAGCCAGGACAATTAAAGTGGACTCAGTTTGCACTATTTCTAGCAGTCTGCAAAGGCCCTGAGTCTTCAGTGGGAGAGGACAGGAGAGGGTAGAATCTTGCCCTTCCCAGTATACTCCAGCAAAAGCAAACTGCTGCAGACTCCTCTAACTCATCTGTTCTTCCTCATACCTCTTGCTCTCTTGACCACACTCTGCTGTTGGTGGATCACATGTGTACCAGTTTTCATCTGTGAAATGTCCAACAGTATGCTATAAGTTGCACCTTACTGTGTCACCTCTCCTACTATCAAAGATCGCCCTTTACTACTGAACAATTAATATCTGTTGTTTGTTGTCCTGATGACAACAATGTTAATAGTAAAATAAATCAGAAAGTGGACACTGGAGACATGCTGTCTCTAATGTGCACCTCCCCAGTCATTTGGGAAAGGAGTTTTTTGGTAAACCCAAATCCCAAATGGAAATGATTTACAAGAAGTATTGTTTTACATTACTTTTACAAAAGTAAAAAGTTGTAAATCAGTAGTTACTCTAATAAAATCAGAGAGCCTTGTATTTCAAAATTACACAAAATTATTTTGATATAATCTAAACACAATCCCTGATTGTAAAAGTGTAGATCAATTTGCAAACCTCTTCTGAGAGCAGAAATTTGCCAAATTCCAAGTGGTGTCTCTCTAAAATTGATGAGCCATGAAGTTTTGCTAAGGGATGTTGAGATCTATTAGCAAACATTTAAGGAAAACAAAATAAGAAATAATTAGAACAATGGCAAGTTTTGAAAAATGCTAAGTATGGAAAACATTATGTTAGGATTAAAAGAACAAAAATAGTAACCGGACTTTTCCTTTAAAAACAGAAATCTTGAAAATGTTAGCTGTTTTTGCAAATAACTTTTAAATAAAGTACAAAACGCTTATGTTCTTGAACAATGAATGAAGTCTTAAATACATTTTATACTGTGCTTCATCACTGCAACAATTATGGATCAGAACAATTTAAAACAATAATTGTAGAAATGTAACAACAATAAAATCTAGTTAAGACAGCAAACAGCAAAAAAAAATTGCAGAAGTATTTAAAATCCTTTACTTTCTACAAAAGATTATACATTTCTGCAAATGTTTCTGCATGACAAATGTGTATCTTAAGTGCTTTGTACATATAATGCTTCACACAATGATTGATAGTCTATAGAAGAAAGGGAAATGAGGCACTAGAGCCAAGAGAAATCTATACAAATTGTTTGCAGTACAGTTTTTGTGGGTTGGTCAAATTATATTCTTTAAACCAGAGCTACTCAAACTCATGGTTCATTGGGTGTCACTCCTTGTAAGTTTCCAAGAGAGAACAAAACAATTGTAGCCAGCAGGCACAAATATGATTCCAGTCCCTGACACAGTTTTTTATTTAAATTGCTGGTCCCCACATCTTAAGATGCACTGCTTCAAATGGTTGTTGTTGTTGTTGTTGGTGGTGTTGTGTGCGTTCAAGTCATTTCTGACTTATGGTGACCCTATCACGGTTTGTTTGTTTGGGGCAAGATTTGTTCAGAGGAGGCTTGCCATTGCCTTCCCCTAATACTGAAAGACTGTGACTTGCCTAAAGTCACTCAGTGAATTTCATAGCCAAGCGGGGAATCGAACCCTGGTCACCAGAGTCATAGTCCAGCACTCAAAGCACTATGCCATGCTGTATTTCTGTAGAGATGATTAAATGATTTAGCTGACTCTTACATTTTCAATCCAATGGGTAGTCCACATTTGCATTTTTTGCTTCAAGCACTAACATTGTTGTTGTTGTTGTTGTTGTTGTTGTTGTTGTTGTTATTATTATTATTATTATTATTATTATTATTATTATTATTATTATTATTTTGCACCACCACACTTCTCCTTGACACATCAGATGTACCATAGGCAGGGATGCAGCTACCAAGGATCACAAAATTAGGGCTTTGCCCCTCCAAATCATATTTTCCCACCCCCATGAAATCTTCCTTCAGCCCCTAAATTTCTAGAATTGCAGAAAGGGAGTCATTGAAAATTGCCTTCACCTAGAAGCCACATATTTGCTATGTTCACATTCTCTTGCTAACTTTCCCTACCCCCGTTTGTTTGGATGCCTAAACTATGTTTTTAAATGTGCAGCTGACATTTTAAATCTCTGTGCTGTTTGAAATTTGGGGATGGGAGGAAAAATTAACAGGGCAACATAATTCATATTTGATGTGGCTATACCTTTATTTTGTCCCCCCCCCAGACAAACCCTAATCACAGGCTATGTCCACATAGAAAGATGGACATTCAGTTTGGTAGACGCTCAAGGAGATATTGAAGAGAAGCTGAAACAGATAATCAAAAGGAGAAGAAGTGTTCCTGAAAAGATTAACTACAGGGCTAGGGTGCATTTCGCGTTCTACAGTACAGTTTAAAAGACCTATGAAGAAATGAGTCCAACAAGCCAGGTGATGGGAGAGAGGAAGGACCACATCTATGGAAGGAAGCTCTTTTAAGCTGCAAAGCCTGCAACATCTGGTATGAGCTTCACTCTTTTTCACCATATCACATAAAAATTGAAAGACAGCATGTTGTAGTGGTTTGGGTGTTGGACTAGGACTCTGGAGATCAGGGTTCAATTCCCCACTTAGCCTTGAAACCTACAGGATGACCTTGGCCAAGTCACATGCTCTCAGCCTCAGGGGAAGGCAATGACTAACTGCCTCTGAATAAATCTTGCAAAAAATAAAACCCATGATAGTTTCAATATAATTTGGAAATGACTTAAAGGCACACAACAGCAGCACCAAGGTGTTACCACAAGATCTTTGTGGCATCTTTAAGCCAGTGTGGCATAGTGGTTTGAGTGTTGGACTAGGTCTCTGAAGACCAGGGATCAATTCCCAGCTCAGCCATGAAACCAACTAGGTGGCCTTAGGCATGTCACACACTCTCAGGCTTGGGAGAAGCCAATGGCAAACCTGTTCTGAACAAGTCTTAACAAGGAAACCCCATGATAGGGTTGCCTTAGGGTTGCCATAAATTGGAAATGACTTGAAGGCACACAACAACAACAACCCAGAATGTATGAAACAACAATGGGAGTTGTTATGCTAAGTTACAGTGACAGGATATACAGTGAAGTAATTATTGTAAGGAACTGGTTAACACATCCACAGATAGTATGATAACAAAGAAGAGGAGGCAGGCTTGGCTCTGGTAAGAAACTGTCTGAAAGAACAAGAAAAAGGTGGTATGGAAGCCAAGAGAACGTAAGTTGTTTTGAGTTTGTAACGAATAAGCAATAAGCCTGCCAATAGTTTGAAATTATGTGTGGTTTAATTAGGCATTGCTAAGGCTTGCTGCATAGTTCTGACAATGAATGTCTCTGATGTGGACCTATAGTTACTGAATAACTACTAAAGCCTGAGTTTCTGAACTTGATTAACTGCCTAATTTGACAAGCTATTAATAGAGAAGTACCTACTTCATCTGATAAAGATTGTTAGTTCCTCGATGGTCGATATCATGACACAAAGCTGCAGTAACCATAGCCATTGTTTCAAGATCTGTGTAGTATTGCTTCAGTTTCCCTGTCTACACAAGAAAATCAGAATCACACATCCCAGTGAGTATCTCCAGTCAAAATTTCAGTGTTAGCTAGTAGCTAATTTTTTTCAAATACTAGAAATGGTAGGAAGTTTTATAAAGAACACTATTCAATTGAGCTTGTAATATTGTTCACATCCAATGATGTGTTACATGTTAAAATAAGCTGAAATTAACAGCAAAAGTATCATTTTCTACACAGAAGGCTTAAATGTGCATACTATAAGTTGAGCATCCCCTATCTGGAATTACAAAATCTGAAATACACAAAATCCAAAATTGACCATGCGGGTAGCTGAGACAGTAGAGTTTATCACACAGGAGGCTAAGCGCCTAAATCCCATGCAGAAATGGGATTTAAATCCTGGAAAAATCCTGTAAAAGCAGGATCATTTTCAGACTCATCGGGGCATTGAGCATTAACGAGAAAATGACTCACACAGAAAGTGGACAAAATCGGACACTTTTTTACTTTCAGGAGAATCCTGAAAGTAAAAAGAGGCCAATTTTGTCCACTTTCTGTGTAGGTTATTTTTGCATTAACGCTCAATGTCCCTGACGTTGTGTGAAAATGATCCCACTTTTGTGAGATTTTTCCACTTTCTGTGCTTGTGAATGCCTGATGTTGTGTGAAAACAATCCCACTTTTGCAGGATTTCTCCATTTTAAATTCTGTTTCTGCATGGGATAAACCCCATGTGATAAACTCCAGTGACATCTTTGCTTTCTGGTGGTTCAGTGTACACACATAATTTTGTTTTATGCACAAAATTATTAAAAACATTATGTATAAAATTACCTTCAGGCTATGTATATAAGATGTATACAAAACATAAATAAATTTCATGTTTAGATTTGTGTCCCATCTCCATAATATCTCAAAATATTCTGAAATCCAAAAGGACAAGAGAGACTCAACCTGTATTTACAATAAAAAAAAGGCAAAAAGCCTAGTCTATCTTGAGATGAAGCCTTCATCTTCACACACTTGTTTTATATGTGCACGGGGGGTGGGGGGTTCATTCGAATATGAAGGCCTGCAACCAGAAATATTGTGACCCAAGACAATCTTTACTATGCCACATCACTTTCCCCTAGTTTCTTGCAGATCATATAAAGTTACTGAGAATTTCCTGCAGTTTGGTGGCAGAAATCTAGGCTCTTAAATACTCTACAGGTCTTATCCTGCAGATGCATATGTCCCTTTTGTGAGCAAGCATCCAATTGTGAACAAGCTTTGGTTAACACCTGGAACACCGATCTTACCAAGGCTATCGACACAATCGCTCCCAAGCATCCTTTCCAGCCTGCTCCTAACCGTAAGCTCTGGTATACAGAGGAGCTTAGAAAGATGAAGTGGGCTGGACAATGACTAGAGCGCATCTGGCGGAAGACTCGACTTTTATCCGACAAGACTCGTCATAGGAATTTTCTTGATTCCTATTAAGAGGCAATACGTGCAGCGCAGAAGTCCTTCTCCTCTGCACGTATTGCGTCTGCAGAGTCCCGTCCAGCGGAACTGTTTAGGGAAGTGATGCAGGTTCCTCCTGCACAGAACCCTCTACTTAACCCACCAACATCAGCCTGCTGTGACACGTTTAACAACTACTTTGCAGATAAAACCTCTCAGATAAGAGCCGACTTAGATGCCAGTGTTATGACAGAATCTATAGACAAGGCGTCCAATTCCGTTAATGGAATTTTATTGGATCAGCATCAATCTGTGAGTACCGATGATGTGGACAAGCTCCTTGGTAGAGTGAGGAAGAGAATCTGTCCTCTCGATCCTTGTCTATCATGGCTGGCCATCCAGGGGGGTGGCACATTGAGGGTATTCTTTAGAGATATTTATCAATGCGTCCTTCAGGGAAGGCTTTGTTCCATTTTGTCTAAAGGAAGCGGCAGTTAAGCCGCTCCTGAAAAAGCCTTCCCTGGACCCCCTGGACAGGAACAATTACAGACTAGTCTCCCTGTTGCCTTTTTTAAGCAAAGTGATCGAGAGGGCAGTTGCTTCCCAACTCCAAGCTGTCTTGGATGAAACCGATTATCTAGATCAATTTCAAACTGGCTTTAGGACAGGATATGGAGTTGAGACCGCCATGGGTGCTCTGGCTGACGACCTCCACTTGGATATTGACAGGGGTAGTGTGACCCTGTTGGTGCTCTTGGACCTCTCAGCAGCCTTTGATTTGATAGATCATTCCATCCTCTTGGACCGCTTGAGAGGGTTAGGAATTGGAGGCATTGCTTTGCAGTGATTCCATTCCTTCCTCTCGGGCAGATCTCAGAGGGTGAGGCTCAGGCACAGTTGGTCATCTAGAATAGAGCTTAATTGTGGCATCCCAAAGGGCGCCATCCTGTCCCCGATGCTATTTAACATTTATATGAAGCCGCTGAGGGAGATCATTCAGAGACATGGAGCACGGTGTCATCAGTATGCTGATGACACTCAGATATACTTCTCCATGACCTGGTCATCAGCTCTGACTTCAGATGGCGTCTCTCCTCTCAATGACTGTCTGAAGGCAGTAATGGACTGGATGAAGAAAAACAGATTGAGACTGAATCCAGACAAAATGGAGGTACTAACAGTCACGGGCCCAAAACCAGTTCTGGGAATACAACTTCCAGTCCTGGATGGAGTCACACTCTCCTCCAAGGACTGTGTTCGCAGTGTGGGGGTGCTCCTGGATCCGTCGCTTTAGATGTCCAATCAGGTAAATGAGACGGTCAGGAGTGCCTATTATCAGCTTTGGCTGATACACCAGCTGCGCCCTTTCCTGGAAACCAGAGATCTTGAAACTGCAGTACATGTGCTGGTAACCTCCCTTCTCAATTTCTGTAACGTGCTCTACATGGGGCTACCTTGTGCTTAACCCGGAAACTTCAACTAGTTCAGAATATGGCAGCCAGGTTGGTCACTGGTGTTTCCAGAAGAGAGCATATAACACCTGTGCTAAAAACTCTGCACTGGCTGCCTATTAGTTTCTGGGCACAGTACAAGGTGTTGGTTATGACCTTTAAAGCCCTACATGGCTTGGGTCCAACTTATCTTTGGGACTGCCTCGTCCTATATGATCCTCCCCAGGGAACTCCGGTCCTCTGGGAGGAATCTGTTACAGCCTATAAAAACTAGGCTGTTGGTGACCTCCCAGAGGTCTTTCTCTGCCTCAGCTCCCAGATTATGGAATGGCCTGCTGGATGAGATCTGTCTTATTACCACTCTTGACAGCTTCAAAAAAGTTGTTAAGATGGATCTTTTCCAGCAGGCTTTCCCTGAATAATTATCCCAGCCCAAAGACTTTGGTTAACTTGTTCCCCTGAGCGGTCACTGTTTATTTTAAGCTGCTGTTTTAATTGTTTCATGTTTTCTTTTTATCTAGTCTATTCTATGTTTTAAATATTAACTAGTTTAATATTGTTTTAAGGGAAGGGTGGGTTAGGGAATTGACATATGTATTGGTGTTTTTAACTGTTGTAAGCCTCCCTGATTGCACTACAGAGAGGCGGGATAAACATAAATTTATTATTATTATTATTATTATTATTATTATTTGTTAATTCATGGAAAAAATGTATGGAAGGGTGAAAACTGAGTAAGGAAATAACAATATGTGTTCAGCATTCTTGTGGAAGTGGTTCTTGAAGTGGCTAAAGTGATTTGTCATGGCACTTGATTCCGCCACCACCATATATATATACATATAATTTAGCTTGTTTTGTTTTGTGATTGGCTGTCAATAGACCCAGGTTTAATTTTCAAATCTGACTGCTAAGGCACATATCTCTTAGACAATCCTACTGGGAGAGGGAAGGCAGATTAATTGTAGGGAATATATATTCCTCTCAATGTCTGCTTTGATTCTCAGACCATTTCTTGGGAGAACAAATAATAATAATAATAATAATAATAATAATAATAATAATAATAATAATAATAATAATAATTTATATCCCGCCCCTCTGCAGAGCAATCGGGGCGGCTTACAACATTACAATGTTGTAAAATGTCAGAAAAGACATACCATAAGAAGTGTGAACATGGTTTGTGCGACATTGAAGCCATGGCGCCAGTTGTGATACGTAATTCTTCTGTAACCCTTGCTGACTGAATAAATGAATCTCACCAACACCTGTGAAAACAGAACTGCAGTGAGCACAGGTTTTGAGTGCTTTCTGGAAATGATACAAGGCACTGTTGTGGAATCAGAGCAGAAGCTTGCAAAAAATTAAAATAAAATAAGTATTTTCCTCTAACTTTGTGGATTTGCATTGGAATGAGGGCAGAGAAATTTAGAGGATAAAT